GGCAACTGGCCCTTGGAATATATTTTTAACAAAGGAGGTGAAAGATCTCTATAGGAAGAATTACAGAACACTGAGGAAATAAATCACAGAAGATACAAAGAAATGTAAAAACCTATCATGCTCATAGATCAACAGAATTAACACTGTTAAAATGTGTATAGTACCCAAAGTGACATATGGATTCAAGACAATCCCATTAAAATAACAACATCGGGTGGTGCCTGTGGCTCAAAGGGGTAGGGCACCAGCCCCATATGCACAAGGTGGTGGATTCAAACCCAGCCCTGGCCAAAAAATAAAAAAAATTTTTAAAAACCTCAAAAAAAAAATAACATCGTTTTTCACAGATCTAGAAAAAATAGTTCTACACTTCATATGGAATCAGAAAAGACCCCAAATAGCCAATGCAAACTTATGTAATAAGAACAAAGCTAGAGGGATCATTTTACCAGACTTTAAACTACACTACAGGGCTACAGCATCAAATTAGCATGATACTGGCATAAATATGCAGACGTAGACCTATGGATCAGAATATGAAAACATCCTCATATTCCATACACTGGGGAAAAGAATCTCTATTCAATAAATGGTGCTGGTAAAACTGGATAGCCACATGTTAAAGACTAAAACAGGACATGTACCTCTCACCACTCACAAAAATTAATTCAAAATGGAAACAGACTAACCTAAGACATGAAAATACAACAATTCTATAAGAAAATGTTGGGAAATCTCTTATAGATATTAGCCTAGATAAAAAATTTAGGAGGGAAGATCCAAAGGTAATCACAGCAACAAAAATGAAAAAATGGAACCTGATCAAATTAAAAAGTTTCTGCACAGCCAAGGACACAATCAACAGAGCAAATACCTACAGAATAGGAGAAAATATTTACATGCTATATACCTGATAAAGGGCTGGTAATCAGAATCTACAAAGAACTCAAGCAAATCAATATGAAAAGTCAAGCAATCCCATTAAAAAGTGGGCAAAAAAACCTGAACCAAAACTTTTCATATTAAGATTAACAGCCAACAAACATATGAAAAAATGCTCAACATCTCTAATCATCAGGGAAATGTAAATCAAAACCACA